GCCAAGACTTAGAGGAGTGTATTGTGTGATTGTTAATGTGTTATTTATAAAGGTTTTTGGTGAGCATTGAAAACTAATTATGTAGTTATTTGTGTAGATTAGTGGAAAATCTCCTCGAGGTGAGGAGCGGGGATATAGGTTGAGAGTTGACCGAACTCCACGATCATATTGCTTATTTGTGTTTAGCATTGACGTACTTATATCTTGCGCTTGTTGTTTATATCACCTATTATCGTATTGTTTATTACTGCTTATCCTTGCATATAATTTATTGTATATCATATTTGCTAGGAAATTAATTAATAATTTTTATTTGGCATCAATATCGGATTAGATTAGTAATTATCCTATTCACCCACCTCTAGGATACTTTCATTTGGTATCAGATCTTGGTGCTCTTGATTTGTGACTTAACTGCCTAGAGTTAAAGATCCAAGCTTTTATATCTTGCTAATCTAGTTTTTTGATTATTTTTGCTTACATAATTATCATGGACATGCACGGTGCACCTAGTTTAGGTTATACTATTAATATTGCTCCAAAATTCAATAATTTTCCTTATGCTCAATGATGTGTTAGATTTAAACTTTTTGTTAGATCTAAATATTTTGATTTATGGGAAATAATTGATTATGCTTATATTGTACCCAATTTAGAGAAATCCAACTCGAGTAATAATGATAAAAGAATGTTTATAATGAACAAGCATTTTGTTAGAACTTTTGCTTGAAGCTTTCAATTCATCCATTTCTAACAAGATTGTCTCTTTTGATAGTGCTTACAAATTGTGAAAATTTATAGAAGCACATCAAGGAAACTTGGAGGAGATCCGACGTATTTTGGCGGATTCCCCTTTAAGTGCAATTGGATCTTCGTCATGCACACGACCACTAGGCGATGGCCCTAGTGAGGTATGCGTATGCGAGTTCGAATCCGAATGTGATTTATCTATAAATAAACTCACTTGTGCATATAAACATTTAATGCATGCCTATAACAAATTGCATCATAATTTTATAGATTTAAGAAGTAAGCATGTAAGCTTAAAATCCAACCATGATATGCTAGCTTCTAAATTTGATACTATTGCTAAAGAGAATGTGATCAATTGTAGGAAGTTGGTGAAATCCTTTGGAGAAAGGTTTATTGTTAACCTACCGAAAGAAAGTTCTCCCTAAATTTATCGGCTGAAGCTACAGGGAGATGAGCGTTTCTCTAGAGGTGTATTGTTAACCTAATGAGTGACATTTGAGGTGATTGTTTCTAGTAGAATTCATTTGGTTTGGACCCAACATGAGTTGGTTTTTCCTAGAGTTCATTGATGTGGAATCTAGGAGGGCGTCGGTTGTCGACGATTAGTGAACAAAGGTTTAGCGTTCACTTGTCACCTACTGGGGGTAGGAGTTTTTGGCTTTGAACTCCTTGAACTCATTGAATTATGACCACCAATGATGCTTGTTGTCATAGTGATGGTGTTCTACCCCTGTGCTCCTTTGGGAATCTAGGGTTCGACATAGGTTTTTCGTTAACTTGACGAAAGGGAGACTACGCTATCTGATTGTTCACACCCTAACTCTCTGAGCAATAATGGCTGATCTTATTATTAGAGGCTTAATGCCAACATGCCGAAGAGTAGAGGGGCCACTCCATAGTCTTTTGATGGAGACGTGGGGCATATGATGAGGAGTAGGTCATCATTTTGCTATGTGTATGGCTCAAACCTCAAGGGACTTTGTAATCCACATCACTAAAGGCTTATTGTTAACTTAGTGATGTAGGAAGAGTGGAGAGTTTGCTTAGTACTCCTTGGAGGAACCTCTCGGAATTCATTGGTCTGAAATTCTAGAATGAAAGTTCTAAGAAAGTCTGGTTGACCAAACTTTGTCACTTGATATGTTATTGTAAGAGGTTTAATGTTAACATGACAATCATGTGTCTAATTTTTAACACCCGAGTGTGACATGTGATGCTATCGGGATGGTTTCCTGAGGTATATTGGTGTGGAACCCCGGTGTTGCTAACATATGGCTAACAGAGGTGACAATTAACATGTCGCGCATCTTGAAATCATTTTGTCACTTTGGAAAGTGACTAATTGCTAGAGGTTTAGAGTTATCTTTGCAGTAGAAGTGATCTAGACTCAACAAGTGATTCCTACAATTGCCTTGGATGTTATGATCATGTTGGTCGAAACGAGTTTGGGCTTGATGACCTTATTTTCTGTTGGAGCCACTGGCAGTTCAAGGGTAATATTTTTTTAAGGTATTTGCTGTTGATAGATACCCCCGTGTTGATCGACTAAGGGATAAGCCCTATTCGAGTTGATGGTATCTGCAATGTGTGGACCCTCCTATTTCCTATGGAATTTGTCCGGCGACTTGTGTGCCGTGAACATGTAATGATGGACTGTCACTCAACACATCGTTTGGTTTAATCCAATGCCAAAAATGACTAGTCAATGTTACACTTAGTCCTCAAGATCCATCATTTTAAGCATTCAATCCATCAATTAATATCCAATAAGAGACTAAATCTTGAGGTATAACAATCACCCCACCTTAATTACGTGACATCCTCATCACAGTATTCACAATTGGTCTGTCCTACTATCGCCACTAGGCCATGCTGACTCTAGAGGTGGCTCCTATAGGCTTCTACAGGTGTCTTCCACCACATTCATGTAATATAGCACTTAGTTTGCTATGGCACTTGGATCAACATTTTTGACTGGCTAACTGCTCTGATACTAATTGTCATGCTCGGGCCTACGAGCCTATTGCCATGATGTAAGTCCTCGGATCCACATAATGCAACACATGATTTGGCTCAATCCATTACCAAAATTGGCTAGTCAATGATTCACTTAGCCCACAAGACCCATCATTTTAACCACTCAATCCCTAAATCAATATCTGATGTGGGACTAATTCTTTGGGTATCACAATATTGTTAAAGTCTAAGACTTAGTCCCATCAGATATTGATTGAGTGAATGAATGGTTTATAATGTTAAGTCCAAAGAGTCAAGTGCAATATCGACCAATTAATTTTGACAGCAGATTTTGCCAAATAATGCACAGCAAGCAATGGGTCCATAGCTTACATAATGCAAATAGGCTCACAGGCATGAGGTTATATAAATAGTACTAGAGTAGTTAGGCAATCGAAAATGTGGAGCTAAGTACTATATACGAATAAGTGCTATATTACATGAGTATGGTGGGGACTACCTCTAGAAGCCTGTAGGAGCTACCTTTAGGGTCAACATTCCCTAGTGATGATACTGGGATAGACCAATTGTCATGCTGTGATGAGAATGTCACATGATTAAGGTGGGGTGATTATGATACCCCCACGATTTAGTCCCATACCGGATATCAATTGAGTGATTGAATGGTTAAAATGATGGGTCTTGAGGTCCAAGTGTAATATTGACAGTCAATTTCGGTAGTAGATTGAGTCAAACCCTTTGTTGCATTCCGTGGTTCCTACAGCTTACCTTACGCCAATGGACTCGTGGGCCCGGGGCTTAACAAATAGTTTTTAACCAGTTAGTTAATTGAAAATGTGGAGCTAAGTGCTATACTGGACTAAGTGCTACACTGCATGAGTATGGTGGGAGAGACCACTAATTGGCAAGCCACGATGAGAACATCGCGTAATTAAGGTTGGGTGATTGTGATACTCCAAGATTTAGCCCCACATCGGATATTGATCGAGTGATTTAATAGTTAAAATAAAGGGTCTTGAGGGCCAAGTGTAACACTGACTAGTCAATTTTGATAGTGGATTGAGTCAAACCACTATTAACTTCAGAAGGCGAGGAGCGGGTTTCGAAGAAGGCGAGGAGCGGGTTTCGAAGAAGACGAGTCGTGGCGGCGGTCTTCGACGAAGACGACGAAGTCGAAGATGAAGTCGAGGATGAAGTCGAGGATGACGATCTAAAGGGTTCGCCAAAGAAGAAGGCGACGAGCAGCGGCGGTCTTGAGGGGAGGACGACGAGCTGCAGCGGTCTTCGAGGAAGACGACGAAGACGAAGACGAAGTCGACGAACGAGATGGCTAAAGAGTTGTCGTCGGCGTCGAAGGAAGAGGGTTCCGAAAGGGGGAGAGTTTCAAACTCTTTGACGGAGGTTTGGGGGTTTCGGTAACAACGCTGCTCAGAAAATGACGGTGGGGCATTACTTTTTTAGTTTTAAATTGCCAAGGGTAATTTGGGGATATTTTTTTGGGTTGTGGGTCTGTATACTATTTGGGGGCTTTGTTGCATTTTTTTCTGTATAAGGGTTTTCCAGTAATGCTTCTTGGGCTGGGGGTGGGGATGCATAGCCAAATTTAATTTGATTCCCCCAAGCAATTTTCCCTTAAAAGAAAGAAGAAGAGAAGCATCTCAAAGAGACGAAAGAGTAAGTCTTCATGTAGGATTTTTGTTTAAGCCCAAGTTAATAGGTAAACAACCCTACTGAAGAAAAGAAATTGTCTTTCAATTCTAATTGACCCCCTAGCTACATTATGCACATATTTGCCCCTAAAACTATAATAACACAAAACTTACAATTCTACAGAAGAAGACAATGTCATACACTTAAATTGACGAGAATCATGGTCTTCGAGGAAGACGACGAAGACGAAGACGAAGTCGACGAACGAGACGGCTAAAGAGTTGTCGTCATCGTCGGAGGAAGAGGGTTCCGGAAGGGGCGAGAGTTTCAAACTCTTTGACGGAGGGTTGGGGGTTTCGGTAACAGCGCTTAGAAAATGACGGTGGGGCATTACTTTTTCAGATTTAAATTGCCAAGAGTAATTTGGGGATATTTTTTTGGGTTGTGGGTCTGTATACTATTTGGGGGCTTTGTTGCATCTTTTTTTTTTGTATAAGGGTTTTCCGGTAATGCTTCTTGGGCTGGGGGTGGGGATGCATAACCGAATTTAATTTTGTTCCCCCAAGCAATTTTCCCAAATTTTTGTTGATGCTACTCCCCCGCTCGCTTGCTAGCTCCTATATATAGTCGCCTCCACCACTTTCATTTTCAAAACTTCGCCCCTCCAATTCTAGTGACGAGGAGAACTTTTGAGGAGCTCTGAGAGAAAATTTCAGGTAAAAGTTACACCCTTCACCCTTCGATCTGGCTCTGTCATTTGTGAATTAGATCTAGAATTTTCTTTTCTGAAGCGTTAATTGTTCGAATTTATAATTCCTTTCCTGTAATCATGATTTTTCTCCATATCCGTAATTTTTTATGATGAACTTCTCTTGATCTGTGAAAAGTATCTCAATCTATGCTTTAGTTTTTCTTACTGGTTTTTTCTTTTTCTCCTAAATTGCTCGAATTTTTGTCCTAATTTGATCGGATTTCTCACTTGTAAAACTTCGATCTAGCTCTTTGATTTGTGGATTCGATCTGGAATTTTCTTTCCTGTAGCGTTAATTGCTAGAATTTCTAATTCCCTTGCTGGATCCTAAATTTTTCCCCCTTCCTTTTTGATTAATTTTCATGATAAGTTTCCCTTGATTTGGCGATGAGTATCTCACAGGTGCAATTTTGTTTTGATGCACAAATCGATATCTACTTTTTTTATCAAGAATTTTTTTGCATGTTTCTTCAGAATTTCTTTAAACTGTGAAAACGATCTTCATCTATCCTCCAGTTTTTTGCTTCAAAAAAAATTAAAAAAAAAAATCTATCCTCTAGTTTTCTTACTGATTTCCCCCCCTATTATCTCTCGTAATTTGAATGGACTCTCTTAAATACGAACTCATGGTCTTAAACTATGAAAAGACTGATTCATTTTAATTTATGAAGGGAATTTGTGATTCTTTGTTACCTTTGCTTAATTTGTAGAATTTTTCATGGATAGAACAGCTTTAAAACTAGATCTGATATTATCAGTTTATTTCTTCTTAGATTTGTTTATGAACATGTACGATTCTTACTGCTCTTAAATTCTACTGTAGATTTGTGGGAAGGATTGGGTCTTATTCAGAGCATAAAGGATGTCAAATGTTAAGGTTTGTGTGCGATTTAGACCTCTGTCCTCAAGGGAGAGAAGAATCTGCGGAGATGATATATGCTTCGATCGTTTAGATGAAGAGTCATTTGTATTCAAGGTTCACCTTTTTAAAGCTTATCACTTTCTTATTTGTTTCAGAATATCTTATGTTTATAAGGGTTTAATGCTGACAGGATGAGAAAGGAGAAGATACTACATTTTGTTTTGACAGGGTTTTCTATCAGGATGCCAAACAGAGGGATCTCTATGAGTTTCTAGCTATGTCTATAGTTCAAGGTTGCGTCACTTTTTAACAACTATAGAAGGATTTGTATATACCTTTGCTTGCTTTTTTTCCACTGCTCCTTACAAGTTATTAACTGTTTTCAAAAACAGACACTGTGAATGGGATTAACGGGACCATCATCACTTATGGACAGGTGAGTGCAATAGTTAAGCTGACATTTTTTCTGATTAGGTTTCCTTTTAAATGCAAATATTTACTGCCATAGAATTATACATGGAGACATGTTGGATTTGAATTTGCATGTCTTATATGCTTCAATTGGTTCTTTTGCGCAAAGAAAAAAAAATTGATACGAATCATGTAACTGTGGTCTTCCATAATCAGAATTACACATTGTTTCTTTATCATCAGAAAAGGGATAGACACAACAGGATTATTTTTATTTAGAAGGAATCAATCAATTTTCATGTAATAACATGTTCTTACATTTTGAACAAATCTATGGGCCTTTTTATATATGATTTCGTGATGCTTGTTGTTATTGTGAAGCTGTGTTTGCAGACACTTACATTGTGAAGCGGTGTCATGACAGACATGCTTATCATATGTATATCTAGATTTTGGCACATGTAGGTGTTTCATGTCCATGCCAGTATACCATGTCCTGCGACATATTATAAAGTGATACTCAAGGAAATATGTAAATAAATGGACTTCTATTAAAATTGATAGCAAATCTTCAATTTATGACATCTTGACGAAACTATGACATCTTGAATGATCTGTCTGTTATGTGTTCTTTCTTCTTACTTCTGATTACTGCCTTAGTGCCTTCTAATAACGGGCGATTATCTTATTTGTAATGTATAATAGAGAGCATTTAAAGCACTCATGATTTCTATTCCTTATCAATTTTATGAATGCATTTCACTGTTCTCTGCTGCAATCTTTTATTTCTCATGTAATAGTACATTTCTGGAGCTGTTCTTATTTAAATGCCATTTGACCCATTTTACCTGTGATCGTTGCATATGAACTTTGGAGCAGACTGGAGCAGGAAAGACGTACAGCTTGGAGGTCAATTAAAACGCTCTTACTTAGTTGTTTTCAAACCCATTAATTACTGCTTGTTGTTTGTATTTCTGACACTCATATCTTGAACAGGGCCCGGGTATTTTAGAGTTTGATGAATGCCGTAAAGGGCTGTTGCCACGAGTCATAGATGGACTTTTTGAATGTCTAAAATCTTCTACCGATATGTCTGCACACACCATTAAAATTTCCATGGTATTAGAAACCCTATCCTAGGTTTCTGGTTCTTATCTTTCTTGGAGCTTCCTTTTTGTTTGTTACTGATGTTCTGTTGCTGTTTTAGGTGGAGATCTATATGGAGAGAGTAAGGTTTGTAGCTGCTTCAAAATTTGTAATTCTATATAACAACAAACAAACGACAAGAATCCAATGAATTCACACTTTCACATTAATATATGCTTCAACATGGAGTAGAAATGAACTAATTAGTTTGTACTTTAGGGATCTTTTGGATGTATCAAAAGACAACCTGCAAATCAGGGAGGGGAAAGGCCAAGGAATTTATCTTTCTGGGGCAACTGAGGCAAGCTCCAAATTTATAAATTATATATCTCTTCAGAAATGAATCTTTCCTCCACTTATCTTCCAGTTTCAAACTTAAATGAGCACCAGTAGCATTATTTGTGCACTTCTCTTTCAGGTTTCTATTTCAGACCTCACAGAAGCCATAGCCTTGATTAATGTAAGATTTGCAGTTAATGTTTGAAATCAATCTCAACTGTCAGTCTCTCTTTTTATGAAATGTGCAGTTATTATTGGCTAACTAATTTGTAAATAATAATGCAGCGTGGAATTGCTAATAAAGCAGTTGGATCTACACGTATCCTGAGTTGTTTCTTTTATACTTGTTTTCCCTTTTTTATCATTCAGCATCCGTTTCATGTATTTTTTTGGAGACCTTAACATAGACAGAAATGAACGTGACAAGTAGCAGAAGCCACTGTCTTTATACATTGTCAGTTCAGTATGAATCTGCAGTTGATGGGAAGTAAGTTTTTGAACTTTACTAGTTCAGCTCGTTACAAGTTTGTTTTGAACTTTACTAGTTCAGCTCGTTACAAGTTTGCATCTTGCTAGGAGACTAGAAATCCTGAAGCAGATATTAGTTAAAGTATGTGGTTTTTCCCAAATAATTGGGGTTGGCTACTGAAACCTTTTTCTCCACTAATTCCCGCTAGGTTTACCTGAATTAGTAAATTAATGACTATTGGATCCTTATTGACATGTAATTTCGATGAAAGGAGAAGAAGTGGCGGAGCCACATGGGGCTTGCCCTGGGCAGCTGCCCAGGGCAAGAAAGTGAAATCGGGGAGCCCTGTTGTCGACTTCTGGAGGCCCGTCGTCGACTTTGACGAGGGGAGTCCCTCGACGGCCGAGCTCGAGGAGCTTCTCCTCGCTTCCCCGCTCAAAGCTAGGTTTTGTGCCGATTCCGACGACGGAGGAGCAAGAGGACGAGGCATCTCCTTCGCCGATGTTTGCACTTTGGGATTCATCGCCAGCCAGGATTATTTTTTCGCCCAAGGCAAAAAAAAAAAATTCTGGCTACGGCACTAAGAAAAGTGATTTATCTTTCTTAACGAGTAATTCCTTAATGAGTACATAGTCGAGAGCTAAACATATAAATGTAGAAATCTCCCATTAATGCTGAAGAAGAATTTGTTGGATACGGTCCTAGCTGAAATATCTGTTATCTACAAATTTGGATAGCTCTCATCTTGTTTTCTTCATTTCTTGAACTGACACTAAAAACTGTGTATGTGATGAGGGTAAATTTCTGAGACTATATATATCTCTTAGGATTGTATTACTGTTTGTGATCAATGTGACATCAGGAAGACTTGTGCTCCTAGACTATAATACACTTTCTGCTTTAAATTACTATAAGGGAAGGTATATTAAAAATTTACAATGACATTGCCAGGGTAAAGTCTGGAAAACTTATGCTTGTGGACTTAGCTGGTTCCGAGAAAGTTGAGAAAACTGGTGCTGAGGGTAAAGTCCTTGAAGAAGCAAAAACCATTAACAAATCCCTCTCAGCTCTTGGGAATGTAATCAATGCTTTGACAACTGGTAAGAAGAACACAGAAAATTAAACTAATACTTGTTAAAAAAAATTATTTATGTTAGTGAGGAATGATGAAGACGTCCTAATTTTATGGCTTTAGGTAAAAGGAGTCATATACCTTACCGCAGTTCTAAGCTTACTCGCATTCTTGAGGATTCATTGGTTAGTAATTCTTTACTTCAGATTCACCAGATTCTTAGTGGTCCCATATGTGTTGCAAACTGCTACAGGGTGGGAATTCTAGAACTGCACTGCTTTGCTGCTGCTCTCCTAGTTCATCCAATACTTTAGAAAGCATGTCTACTCTCCGCTTCGGAACTAGGCATGTCTTTTTCACAAAACATGTAAATCTAATTTCATGATCTAAAGATACCGACGTAATTAGTTTTTGGAAATTTTCCAGAGCAAAGCTGATAAAGCCACAACGACAAGAGGAAATATTTGAGGAGGTTTCTAATGGAATATCACAGGTCTATTTCCTTGATGTTAGCTGTCATCTTTGTTTTCATTTGTGCATTTTGTATCTTAGCCATTCTCGCTTCTGTGACTTTGCAGGAAGAAGATTTGGTAGATGCTGATCTTAGCACGGCACAGGGAACTATCCCTCAGTTGGAAATACAGCAGGTTTATCTAGTTAATCTTGGCATCACTAGATGCAGTGCATCAACATATATACATTCTATATGTAGAAAACCATGATATGTGACTCATGCAAACCTGTTTCAGGTTATCCTTGATCCTGTCTCATTGCATCAGACTTTTAAAGAACTCAGAAATGAGGTGTCGAAGCTAATCTTTAAATACTGCAAACGTATATGGCATTCTAAATTTTCTGTCTACATTGATGTATGTTGTCTGCTGCATGTATTATATCCTGGGCCATTGCAGATGATAAGGATGAATGAAGCACTGCGGGGCATACTCCAAACTCAAAGACGTACACTTGAAACTGGAAGAACTACTCTCCAGTGGCTTCAGGGTATTAATTCTGCAGCTTTCATAGTTTGCATCTTTGTTATTCTTAACATGGCTAAAGTATTTCTTTTGCACTGAAGTCAATGAACACCGGTCTGGTATACTATTCAATCTTACTACTGTTACTTGCTAAACATTTTGGATAGACACTTACCATAGGAAAATACGTAGCTTTTTTGCTATAGGAAAGAAATAGTGTAAGGTGATGGTTTTCTTCTTCTTCGTCTTCTTTTCTGTGCGTGGCTCACTGTATTTTAGAATTTGGAGGAGGAAAAATAGGCTGTTGTACCCCAAGTTTCTTTATGAATGTTGATTTTTTAACAATGGCTATGAGAGATGTGACTTGCTCCGTTAAAAGACTGTTAGCGTCAAGTTTGTAGATTTCACAGAATTTTGCATTTCTTTTTTTTTCGCCTTAATTTTCTTTTTCTTTTGATGATGATTTTTGCAAGAAGTTTGATATGAGGTAAAAACACTTTGTTTATTATTAAGTAGTTGTGATTATTTAGTATGTGAACAGTATGTTGTAAATACGTTAGCGGCTATTCTGTGAAATACAGGACGTTGAATGCCTTTGTCCTCCACTGAATGCTTGTGCTCCTACGAACTGATTGCTTTTTAGTTTTTAACATGGATTGTTTGATCTGATCGATTGATTAGAAAACTTGTTGTATTATTAGATGATAATAGGAAGAGAAGCAAAAGAAAACACGGTAGCTGCAATCTCTCTCTGCTCGCGATGACCTATGAGCTAAGATACTAGGCTGGGAAAGTTTGGGATTTCGACAGCCTATCATATTTAGAGTATAATCGGCTGGATATCAGTAACGTAACTATACGATGTCCAATGTCCATGAAGAATACGGTTGAAAGAACCAGAGCCATACTGGACCGAATTCATACCTTGGTAATAAGATAATAGAAATAAGATGATAATAATAATAATAATAACTACAATTCCATACATTGTAGAGCTAATAGCTAAGCATAGAGCATAATGGTTCTCTCCTGTATATTTATATCTTCAGAAGCAGATATCGAAGACATGGATATGGTCACACAATGGATCTATAACACCCTGGGTCCTCGTTTCTTTCAGCGGAGCTAATTTTGAAGTATTATATGCTCAAAAGAGAGGACAAAAAAATAAAGAAAAAAGAAAGAAAAATCTAATTTGATTATATTCCTTGTATTCTTTCTTCCTTTCCTCTCATTTTGATCCTGATACTGCTCAAAGATAGAGATAGCAATTTAAAATTATAAATACAATGCTGAGGCCCAGGAGGATCAGGCATTTATTTCTCCACATTTTATCTAGAAATGATCACAGATGATGCATTAAAAATGAAAATCGTATATATACATAAACCAACACATTTTTCAAAGACTCCACGGAGAAAGAAAGTCTTGAACCCTCACAGATTCAAAGGAAAAAAACTGAAAGCAGTTTGTTCCCGGGAGCTTCAAAGATCTTAGAAGACGAAACATTAAGCCCGTGTCTTGTTGTCAAACAATACGAAAGAAAAGCCATCACGGTCATATCAACAACTGAAAAGAGAATAAAATCCATGCAAGGATAAAACAATTTCTACACCACCACAAAAATTGATGCCACGGCTTTTCATGGAAAAATTTATATAATAGCTCATACAATCTCATATACTATCTGCCAGACACATTAATCTCTCTCAGTCATGAACCAAAATGACAAATAATAAATTTGAACAGCGAGACCTCTTCGATAATGTCAGCTGATTACAGGACTACATGATCCTGTAATGAAAAAGAAACAATGACTCATAGAGAAGCTCACAAGATAAAAGTATGTGCTAGTGATCATGAGGGTTATTATAGTGATTTAGGAAGCTCACATGGCAAGGAATTTTTTTTTTAAGGAAAGCATGTGTACATATAAACAAACAATAAAAGAATAAATTCAATTTACAAGCTGAAAACCAATCTACAATCTTTTATGGGGCTTGGCATTAACCAAAAGGACGAGAAGGCAATTATAGGGAATTAGGGTCTTTCAGGCATATCAATTCCTTTAGAAGGGAGAAGACAGTTTTTCACTTTTAACTTCTTTATTTCTTATTTTTGGGCATTTTTACAGGTCATATAATAGGTTAATATAGCCAAAGCCACTGCACGGGTTGTCCATGAAAAAAAAATGATGTGGATTGTTGCTAATAGTTTCCTACTGGCACTTGCTTTTATGTTACATAGATTCTAGAACAGGTTTTTGTGTGTAAATAGAACAATGCTTATGTTAGTGTATAAAACTGTAACTCTCACAACATTGGAGTCTTGGTGCGGTAGAACGAACATTTAACAATCTAAGAGAAGTGTAAACTCATATTACATTACTAGTTTAAAATATAACTTCATGAGAACCTTGAAATAAGGCAATCAAAATGTGGTCACAGACTCAAAAAAAAAAAATTGTACATAAATCTGCTGATTATAATTGGCGCATTGTGTTGTGGCTAGATAATCTTCCCTCCACGCTTGTCAATACGTGCTATGACCCAACTTTCAACAAAATTCTTCTAAAAAATTCCAATGTTGTCGGAAACAGATATACAATAGGTCGTGATAAGTTGAAGAAGTTGTTGAGCTTGAATCAGATAAACAGAAAAAGAAAGGTCAATAGGCTATGGAACAAAAGTTACGAAAATCCAAAACTTCTAGGTTGATATTAAAGGTTGGATAAAGAAAGTTCCTTGTTTAGGAATTACCAATGGTATTAGAGCCTCAAATCAGAAAGAAATATGCCGAACAAAGAACAGCCTCATAGAAAAACTCCTTGTTCAGGGCATCACACATGGTATCATATCCTAAGCACAGCTGATGGTAGCAGAACTAAGTAACATGTGAAGCTCAGTGTTATACAAATCAACACGTCACACAACAAGGGGATGTATTGAATTTGAGGGTCGTCTCTTTGAATTCGTTAGAGCCACCTCTAGAATTCATGGGGGCCATCTCTAAAGTCCAATCCATTTGGTGAAGGGTCAAAATGGCACATGTAAAAAGCCCATCGAACTCAGAACATATATAACTAGTAAATTTAAGGGAACAATCTTGGAATGCTTCTATAGTTATGCATTCTCCAAATATAACAGTTTTAGGATGAATGGCCTCTTGGCAAGTTGCTTGCACTGAGATTTACATGCTACCCGAATCAATTTGTTTTTAACAACATAACAGAGGATATTTGAAGCTTATAGTTAAAGAATTTGGTCGTGATCAATACTAGATGATGCCATTATCATAACCTAACACAGGGCAGAAACTTGCACAAAGAGTTTCCAACTCATTTAAACCTCAGATCCAATAAACAACTTTCGCCTCATTTGGTACGTGGGAATCGTGTGAAGTAAGAATGGAATGAAGCAAGGAATGAAATTAATGTGGGAACGGAATGCTCAATTTCATTCTCATGTTTGGATACAATTTCAAGAATGAAGTGAGAATGGATATCTTTGGAAGTTACATATTTTTTTGATTCCCACTTAAGTTGGAATGCCTATTCCCTACCATCTCATGGGAAACACTCATTTTAACATAAAGTGGGAATGAAGGGGAAGTGAGAATGGGCATTCCAGCTTCCAAAAAGAGATTGTGTTTGGTACGAAGGAATGAGAAATGAGAATTATCATTTCATTCCCACTCATTCCCATGTACCAAACAAGGGCCTTTAGATGTTGTAATCTCAAAAAATGTAATGACCGTAAATTTCTAATACGGGTTTAAATAATTTTTCTGATATTTAAATATTAAATATTATTTTTCCAAAAGAGTATTTGTATTTTTTCCAATTTCTCTAGAATTTTCTACGATTTAAAAATACGATATTATGTTATTTTAATAAGTTTTGCTAATTATAAAATTAATTGTTTTGGTGAAAATTTTAAATAAATAGTTAATTATTCATCATTGTTATTGTTATTATTATTTTGACCATAAATTTTAATATTTATTTGGAATAAATTTTATGATATTTTTAAATTATTTAAGGGGGTATTTTTCCTTGTGTTTTTCCTCCCACCGGTATTTCACTCTGTATCTCTCTCTCCCCAATTCACGCAAATCCCTCCGCCTCGTGTTTCCCCCAGCTCTCAACCCACATCCTCCCAACCACCCTATCACGTACTCTCTCTCTCTCTCATTAAAATCTTCCGCCGTTCTTACTCTCTCTCCAATCTCACACTCAATCTCTCTCTCTCTGACACTCTCTCTATTATCCTCTCTCATTAAAAGCTCACGTCTCACTCACTCTCACTCAATCACTCACCATCACTCTCTCTCTCTCTCTTCTTTATTATTCTCTCTCACTCTCTTCTGCTCTCCCATTCCCCAAGAAACCACAACCAGCTCACTCCCCCCCTCTCTCTCTTCGTTCTTCTTCTTCTTCTTCATCATCACAACCAGCTCACTCCCCCTCTCTCTCTCTCTCTTCGTTCTTCTTCTTCTTCATCATCACAACCAGCTCACTCTCTCCTCTCTCTTTCTCACTCAATCTCTCTCTCCCCGTTCTCTCATCTCTCCCGCTGTCACCCCACCCACGAGCTCGACCGCGCCGTCCGCCTCCGACGCAACCCTCCGCCCTCTTGCTCCCCCGCGGCCTGCCCTTGCCGGGGGTGGGTGGCGGTTTTTTTTTGGTGGGGGGGGATTTCCCTCCACCCACGCCAGCCCCTTGCCGATCCTCCAGAGCCGATGGCCGAACTCACCTCGACCCCGCCCGCAACACCGCCCTCCTCTCTCGTCTCTCCGACGAAACGCCCCGCCAGTCACCCCGCCATTTCACCCCACCCTCGCAGCTCGAGCTCGAGCTCAGTCTCCACCCTGGACGACGCCGCTGCAGGCCTCGCCTCAACACCATTTCCAGTCTCCCCGAGCGCCGTATCTAACACCCCTGAGCTTGCCCCACCGCTGTCCGCGTCGAGCCACCGCCAGCGAGCTCCACCATCGCCTTTGAGCTCACCGCCAACCAGCGCCTCCATCGCACACCACGTGTTCGACGAAATGCTAACGCATATCCAGCTGCAGAACCGCCACATTCTAGCAGTCAGCGAGCCCGCCGGAGCAGAGACATCCCAACGAAACCCCGAGGCAAGATCCCTTGCTCATCTTGTATTTTATCAAGTATTTTTAGACTGATATAATTATCTGCGTGGGCTTGTTGATGAAGTTATGAATTTCTGCATATTTTAGTTTGTGATATAGTTATCTGCATGGAATTGTTTGGTGGATAATATTAAGTAAATCACAATATTATGATAAATGACATTTTCAAAATAATTATAATAAATTAAAAGAATTTATTTTGGTAGTGAAAATATTT